GGATGGATGGATGGATGGATGGATGGATGGATGGATGGATGGATGGATTGATGGATGGATGGATGGATGGATGGATGGATGGATGGATGGATGGATGGATGGAGAAACTCTGATCCCACTTGGAGGAAAGGGGCCAGAGCAAAGCTGGCCACTGAGCTGGGATGTAAATGCACCAACCTGGGCATGCCCTGGCTGGGCAGAGGGTCCTGCACTGATGTCCCAGGGTCTCCATGGGGTTGTCACACACTGGGACAGGGCTGGGGGTGATGCTGCACCTCTGCTCTGGAGCTGGGAATGTTCACCTGGAGAGGAGAAGGCTCCAGGGAAATCTTAGAGACCTTTCCAGGGCCAGAAGGGGCTCCAGAAGAGCTGGAGAGGGATTGGAACAAAGGATGGAGGGACAGGACACAGGGAATGGCTCCCACTGCCAGAGGGCAGGGCTGGATGGGATTTTGGGCAGGAATTGTTCCCTGTGAGGATGGAGAGGCCCTGGCACAGGGTGCCCAGAGAAGCTGTGGCTGCTCCTGGATCCCTGGAATATCCAAGGCCAGGTTGGACACTGGGGCTTGGAGCACCCTGGGATGGTGGAAGGTGTCCCTGCCCATGGCAGGGGTGACACTGGATGAGATTTAATGTCCCTTACACCCCAAACCATTGCATGATTTTATGCCCCAGGAGGGTTGGCAAAGTGTGGTTACATCCCATGGGAAGGGTTTGCCAAGGCTGCAGCTCCTCCAGGATGGGGGCACAGGCTGAGGTGCTGAGGTGAGATCACATCTCTGCACAAAGGGTTTCAAGATGCCAAGGAGGTCTGGGAGTGTGGAGTCCAGCAGTTGGGAAATTCTCCATGGAGGAAAACTCTTCAAACATAAATTTTTTTTTATACTTTGGATTTATCAAAATGCCTCATTCTGATTTTAGCTTTTTCCATTTTGAAGAGGGTCCAAGGTCCTATCACAGTGTGTTACCACACAGGGTATAACATTTGCAAGAATAAAATGAAAAGTCAGTTTGAACTGGAAAATCATGGCAATGTCATGAAAACAAAGGAAACGGGACATTCTGATGTTGTCAAAACCTTTTTTTCTCTGGTTCCTTTCAAAATCAGCTTCCAGCAAAACCAGCAGGATTTTATGAGGCATTTTAGTTTTTGGCAGAGCCCCTGGCTCTGGCACAGTAGGTTTGTGGTGGTTTCTCTGGTTGGGCTCAGACACTGTGAGCCCCCACTCCTGGGGGGAAAAGGGGGTGCAAATTGTCCCCCAGCCCTCCCCACCCCTTGGGGGTCCCCATCTGCCCCCCATTTTCAAGGCATTAAAATAACCTACAAGTCGAGCTCTTGCAGCATTATTTAAGTGTCAATTATTACTTTCGTGGTTTAACCTCTGCATTCTTCTTTATGACCAGGAATGTATCAAATACTAGAGATTGAAAAAAAAAAAAAAAAAGGCAGAAAATGATGATATTAATTTTCCTTACTGAACACCTGGAGTACCACAGTCAGGGTTTGGGCTCTACTGATGCCTTTGAGGGTGCTGGCAATGGCAGGGCTGGTCCCTGTCCCCCTTTTTTCCCCATCCCAGCTGCAGTTTGGTTTTGGGAAGAGGTTGGTGCCCTTCTGGCCACCCACGGTCCTCTTGGACCCAGGAGGATTTGGCTTTCTGTTGTACCTGGGAGATCCATGTCAGATAACACTGGCAGGCTTTCAAAAGCTTCTCTCCAGCTTCCCTGCCAAGACCTATAGGATGTGTTCCAGAGCATCTCCCAGGAATGTTTGTTATTATGACAGGCAAAAAAAAAAAAAAAAAAAAAAAAAAGGGGGAAAAAAAAAAAAAAAAGGCAGTGAAAGAGCACATTGCTGTTAATCACTAGAAATCCTTTAATAACCAACATTACTATAAATTATAGGTGCATTGTGACAGGCACAATCGAGGGCTCTGTTTTTGCTGCCCACGTTGGGGCAGGAACAATGTGCTGTTGTTGCAGGGGTTGGGATGGATGGCATTCAGGAATTGGGGCTGCTCCTGCATACCTGTGCCCTTGGAGATGCTCTGCTGCTCCAGATCCCATGAAAGCCCCATTGTTCTTCCTGCCATATTGCACACTCCATGATTATAGAGCGTTGGATGAGCGGGGAGACGTTGCTTGTTGGAATAATAACCTATTCTTAGCTCTAGCAGCGCTATATTTAAGATTTATATATATTTAAATGTTGGTAATTGCACATTTGGGACGTATTGTAATTTGGGTGACAGCTTGGAGAGACAGTGCTGGAAAGAAAAGCATCAGCTGCGTTTAGGGAGGTGAATCTTGGGGTCATGCAGGGCAGGGTGGTCCGTGTGGATTTTAAACAAGGGTTGGAACATCTCTGGAGCAGCGTCAGGATGGGCAGGGATGCCACCAGGGTTGGAAATCCATCCCTGGAAATGTCCCAGGCCAGGTTGGAAGGGGTTTGGAGCAACTTGGGGTAGTGGAAGGTGTCCCTGCCCATGGTAAGGGTGAAACCAAATGGGCTTTAAGGTCCCTTCCAACCCAAACCATTCCATGATTCCATGAGATCCAGGAAATCCCGGGTTCTACTTCCATGTCTGAAGCTGAATTTGGGGTTTTTTTTGTAGCCCTTTTGTGTCTTTTCACTGTGAAAAAAAAGGCATTTTCCTCCCACAGTGGGGTGTTGGGTGACTTCAGTCCAAACCGTGGTACAGGTGTGAAATGTGGCTGCTCTGCAGGGCTGAGAGCTGAGCAGTGTCAGAGGCAGCAAGTCCCTCACAGGTTTTATATGGATTTTTATATTTTTAACCAGGCAAGCTGCACATTTCCTAAACCCCACCCCAAAACGACAGGGGAAAAGGAGCTTTGCCCCTGGTCCTACAGGTCAGAAGTGACCCCAAAATCAAGACCTATTTTCATTCTGTGTTTATATTGGTGCAAACATTGGTGGTACACACCTATGGATTTCACGCAGAGTATTTGATATTACACTGATTAAGTTTGCTGTAAAAAAATGTGGTAGTCTTCATCTAGTTGATTTAAATTATGTTCTTGGGTGGATTAGGGCATGTTTGGGGAAACTTGGACAGAAATTTGGACAGAAGCCTTCAGGTGTGGAAAAAGCCACCCAAAATTCCAAGAGAAAAACTACGAATATTCAGCTCGCCTAGGATCTCTTGGTAGAAATAATTTCATTGGTTTGGGTTTGGGTGTTTTCCCCTTGACCGATCAGCTGCTGGGGGATTAATTGCCCAGATTAATTTTTGCTCATTAGCGAAGTTTTCAGGCTAGCCCCAGGTTTTTTCTGCAGCAAATTCCCACCGATCCATCCAAAGGCTGGGAGAAACTTCCCCGCATCCCCGGGGATGGAGCGAGGATGGGCAAAGCCGTTCTTGCTCCGAACCCCCGGATCCGCTTCCCTGGGCGCGTGCCCCGGCGGGAGTGGCTATTTTACAGGAATGTATTTATTTATTTATTATATATTCGGGGAAGGGTTATTTGGGATGGGTCCTATCCAGGGGGGGGTGCAGCTCCCCACGGGGCACTCTGCCGCTGCGGCCGCGTGGGGCGGGACACGAGGCCGCCGCTCCCGGCGGTGCTGCCGGTGAGCCCGGGCCGGTCTCCATTCCCCCGTTCCCCCGGAGAATCGTTGATTTCCCCGTTGATTTCCCCATTGATTCCCCCGTTGATTCCCCCGTTGATTCCCCCGTTGATTCCCCCGCTGCCCGCCCCGCGGGGACCGCGCGGCGCCGGGGCCGCCGTTCATTCACGGGCACGCCGGGGTGGGAGCGGGGCGGGGCCCGCGCCCCGCAACGACCAATGGGAGGCGGCGACTCCGCGCGTCACGCGGCCGCGGACCAATGGGAGCGAGCCGGGCCTGAACTTTTGCCACGGCGGACAAGTTGATACATCGCGGGGGTGTGTCCGGCGCGCGGCCCGCGGGGAGGGGAGGGGGGGCGCGTTAACCCCTGCGCTGCCACGACCTACTTCCACAGCGCCCCGCTCGCCCACCCCCCCCGTCCCGCTCCGCCGCTCCCCGCGGGTCCATCCCCCCCTCACGCCGCTCCCCGGCAGCGCGGGGCCGCGCGGGGCTGCAGGGCGGGCGGGCGCGGGGCAGCGCGGGGCGCGTGTGTCTTTAAGCGGTCGGAAACCCGAGCCGGTGTTTGCGCAAGGGCCGGTGCCGCGCGGAGCCGCCGGAGTGTCTAGACTGGCACATGATGGGCGGCAGCCAATGGCGGCGCCGCTCGCGAGGGGCCCCGCGCGCGCGCCCCGGCCACACAAAAGCCGGCGAGGGGCGGGCGGGCGCGAGCGGGCGGCGGCGGCGGCCCCGGGAGCCGCGCACGGAGCGCGGGGACCCGCCGGACCGGGGCCGCGCCCTGCGATGCGGACAAGGGACGCGCTGACAACCGGCCTGCGCTGCGGGCTCTGCTGCTGCTGCTGCTGCTTCTTCTTCGCCTTTCTGATTTAATTTTTTTTTTCCCTGTATATTTTTTTTTTCAATTTTTTTCTTATACTTTTTTTTTTTTTTTTTTTTTAAATACTATTTTTGGCTGAAGGGATCCGACGCCTCCGAGCGGCCCCCGGCGCCGGTTCCCCGCCGGGCGGCACCCCCGCGCCGGGAGCGCTTCCCCGCTCCTCCCCACCTTGTATGGTGGAGCGGCCGCGGGGCGCAGCCGAGCGCTGCCCCGGGCTCCCCCCGGCCCTCGCCCCCGCCGCTCCCCGCCCGGCCCCGCGTTGGCAGCCGATGTAGGGCACGGCGCGGCGCGCCCGAGCCCCAGCGCCGCCACGGGAGCGGCCCCCGCGGCGCCGTCTATGCCCGCGCCGCCCCGCCGCCCCCCCCATGGTGCGGCCCCGCCGCGGGCCGTCCGAGATCCGCTGGGCAGCAGCGCCGCGGGGAGTCCGGGCTGCTCCGGGGCTGCGATGAGATAGAGCCGGCGGCGGAGCGAGGAGCCCCGCGGAGGAGGGCGGGGGGCGGCGGAGAGCGACGCGACCCCCGGCCGCCCGCGGGTCGTATGTTCAGGTCCAAACGCTCAGGGCTGGTGCGGCGACTTTGGAGGAGCCGCGTCATTCCGGACAGGGACGGCGGAGATGGGAGCGCCAGGAGCGGCCACGACCTCGGAGCCACCGGCAGCTGCAAGATCGCGGAGAAAAGCCCCTCGGCGGAGCTCCGCGCGGTAGCGCGCAGCCTGCTGCTGCGGGAGGCGGAGGAGCGGCGCGGGGCGGCGGGCGAGGCGGCGCCGCGCGGGGACCCCATGGCGGAGCGGCGCGGGGCCCGGCTCCGCGCCCCCGGCTCCGCGCCGGAGAGCGACGGCCGGACCGTGACCTGCTGCCTCTTCTCGGAGCGGGAGCCGGGCGGACCCCAGCCTCCCCCTACCGCCGCCGCCCCCGGCCCCGACGGCGCGGCCGACGGCGGCTCCCCGGAGCGGCGGGGCCGGGAGGCGCGGGCGCGGCTTCTGCTGCTGGAGCAGGAGCTGAAGGCCGTCACCTACTCGCTGCTGAAGCGGCTGAAGGAGCGCTCGCTGGACAGCCTGCTGGAGGCGGTGGAGTCCCGCGGGGGGATGCCCGGCGGCTGCGTCCTGGTGGCCCGCACCGAGGTGCGCCTGGGGGGCCTGGCGGCGCCCCCGCACCTCCTCCTGGGCAAGCTGTTCCGCTGGCCCGACCTGCAGCACCCCGCCGAGCTGAAGCCCCTCTGCGAGTGCCAGAGCTTCGGCGTCGCCGACGGACCCACGGTCTGCTGCAACCCCTACCACTTCAGCCGCCTCTGTGGGCCAGGTGAGCAGCGGCGAGTTGGGTCCCCCCGCCACAAACAGCCACCGATTTGGGGGTTCGGGGTGTCTGACCCCTTCCTGGGTTTATCCCAACCCTCGTGGGCAGCGCTGCCCCGGCCCCGCGGTTTTGCGGGGATGCGCCTGGTGCGGGGTCCCCTCCGGGCATCCCCCCTCTCTTGGAACGAGCGGTTCCAGTTGTGCGTAAAAAGCTCTTTCTCATTATTGGTTTGGGTTTTTTTTTTTTTCCCTTCCCGCGGAGTTTCCCCGCTCTCCGGGAGCCGGAGGGGCGATAATCGGCGGCTCCATCCCGCTGGCGCCAGCCTGGCTCGCTCGTATCGGAGCCGGGCGGTCACCGCCGCCGGCTTAAAGCCGCAGGCGCTTCGGGGGGGCTGCGGGGATGTCCCCGCCGCGGGGATCCCCGGACCCGCGGGCACATCTGGGGCTCCTGCATTTCCCGGGGGTTTCTGTATTTTTTTATTTTTTACCCTGGGTAAAAGAGGTGAGCGTTTTCAAGGCGTGGGTTTGGTTTTCTTGAGGGTTTTTTTGTTTGTTTCAGCAATGCTGGATCGCGTGGCCGTGTCAGCAGGGAATAGTTACATGGTGCAGAGACATGGTGGAGTTTGAGGTGCAGAAATCGAAATGATATTTAACAGGCTGTACAAAAATGTAATGAAACTGGACAGCTGGATTCCCACTGCCAGAGGGCAGGGTTAGATGGGATATTGGGAAGAAATTCTTCCCTGTGAAGGTCTGGAGGCCCTGGCGCAGGGTGCCCAGGGAAGCTGGGGCTGCCCCTGGATCCCTGGAAGTGCCCAAGGCCGGGTTGGACAGGGCTTAGAGCAGCCTGGGACAGTGGAAGTTGTTCCTTGCCTATGGCAGGGAGTGGAAGGAGATTATCTTTAAGATCCTTTCCAACCCAAACCATCCTATGATTCTATGCTGACTGTCCCTTTTTTTGGCAAGAACTTTGATTCTATTATTTCTTTTGCAATCTGGGCTCCTTCCTCGCTTTGCATCACTTCTTTCAAAGAAACTTCTTTTCTGGGCGTGCTTCTCCCAAAGGTCGCTAGAGGCTGGAGGCAGCTTTTTTATTCCAGTTGGAGTTGAGCTGCGTTTTCAGGAACGGGGCATTTATTTTAGAAACGGGAGAAGTTTCCCAGTCTCTTTCCTGCAGCCGTGGTGGTTTTCCCAGCGGTGAGCCAGCCCTGTGCTGGGAGTAGTAGAATGCAGAGCTGTTATCAAGTGGCTCCTTATCACTTTGATAGTGGGTGACTGTGCCAGGACCCCACCCGCGCCGGCTGGGCGCTGGGAACAGGAGCCAAGAGAAGGCCTTGGTGCCCTTTTCCACAAGTGGCTCCCTACAGGGATCATCCTGGTGGTGTTTCCCACCCAGTTTGCTGTGGGGTGATGTAGCTGAGGGGTGTGAAAGCTTTGAACGAGTCGCTGGTGACAGCAGGTCTGGCTGTTACATCCACATGGGGACATCTGCACCTTTATTTTTTTTATTTTGGGATTTATAAGCACCCTGTGAGAAGAGCACCCTGTTCCCTTAGAGGGGAGTGGGGAAGCTTTTCTGAGAAGCAATAGGTGGCCCCAGAGCTGTCCCACGGGGGATGCTGAGGTTCTTTCTGATGGACTCAGTCAGGCTGAGCTGCAGGTGCTGGCTGGGTGCTCCTGTGTTTCCGTGCTCTGGGGTCAGTGTGGTGCCACTGGTGAACTTCACAGTACAATTTCTCACTGAAGTCAGTGCCTGCTTAATGCTGATGCCTTGATACAGCCCATCTGCCTGCAAACTCAGTTTTGGCAAGTCACAATTCAAAAATCATCACTATCATATTATGGAAGGGGAAAAGAAACCCCTCTAATCAGGGTTTGGAGTTGGTGAAGGACCTTCATCGACCTTCCCCATGGTCTCGACCCTCGCAGGAACAGCGAGACCTGGTTGAATGACCTGATTCAGCAAAGCACCTCTGAGGACTTGCTGAACTTGGAGCACATGACTGCTCAGTCCTGCTGCTTAAAGCCAAGCTCAGGAGCTTTGGAGGATGGATTCAGGGTGAGGGGGATCACTGTGGCCTCTGCTCCTGAGCTGCTTCTGTGCCAGGGCCTTTTGGGATGGACCAAAGTTAATTGGGTGGCTAGGTGGCTTAAGCCAGCCTGGCTCTGGTGCCAGCCCTGTGTGCCAAGAGGAGTCTTTACATCACCCAGTCCTTCTTTTCAGTGCTTGTGAAGTGTTTGGGGAGCACTTGTTAAGCCCTGTGTGTTGGAGTCACGGATGGAAGGTTGTCTCCCAAGGCAGATGATGGAAATGTGGTTCTTGGGGAGCAGTTTTGTGTGACTCAATCTGTGGGTGTCCAGGCACAGATATGGGGCAGGGGGTGCAGCATTTTCAGTAGCAGAGCCCACTTTAAAAGTTCAACATGGAACTCCCATTCTTCAAAAATTAGGAAAACCTTGGTCTCCAGTTGCTTCCAAGTGTTTTGTTTTCCATTGAGTGTATAACCTTGGAAGAGTTCCTACCTCAAGAGAGAAAGCAAGAGGGTTTGTTGATAAACTGAACACAGAACTAACCTGAAGTTTTGTTTTTCCAGAGTCTCCACCACCTCCCTACTCTCGGCTGTCTCCTAACGATGAGCAAAAGCCACTGGGTACGTGTTTTGTCTCTTTTGATCTCCAGGGAACTCTTTCATGGTGCAGCCCTGGTGCTGGTTCTGAGACAGCCCTACCTGGCATGTCAGGCAAAAGCCAACAAGTCGGGGTTTTATGGCTGCTCATTATTTCTGAGCAAGCATCAGCTGACGGGTTTTAAGAAGTAAATGGATGCCAGTTTATCCTACCAAATTACCGTGTAGACACATGCATATTTTCCAAAATAATATGAAGCTCTATTTTTAATGAAGGCGTAATGAAAGGTTACCAGACGTCATGTTTTGTCTGTGTGTGTAATCTGCAGGAGTGGGAGCTCCTGGGTGCCATTTCCATAAAGGCCTGGCTGTGCTGCTCCATGCAGGAACCAGCTATTACCCTTCCTCTGCTCCTCACAAAGAGATGGAAAGTCTTTGAACCTCAGCCCTGTGTCATTTCTGAATGGGGTGTCACTTTTCCTGAGGAATTAGAAAAGGTTTTCCAAACCAAGTCGGTGAAAGCAGCTTTGGGGTGGGTAGGCTGGGTGTGGAGTGCAGGGTGCTGGAGAGCCTGGCAGCTCTGGATCCTGGATCCAGATGGATCCTGGTCCTGTGTGCTCCACGTTGGCCTGGAGATGTTTTGAGCTGGCATCGCTGCATCCTCAGCATCCTTTCTCAGCCCTGCTTTTTGCTCAAGTAAATGGGAAGCAAAGACATGGGAGGGAAGGGAGCAATCCCACATCCCTCTTGGATTTCTTGCTGGGATTGATTCAGCTGGGGGCTTTCTCCCTTTATCCCGTGGCCAGTGATTTACTGGTGTTCATGGCCAGGGGGAGCTGCTTTTGCTGCCATGGGGCAGGGACAGGGAGGAGACAAATGGGGTTTGGCAGGGATAGGAGGGGACAGCAGTGCCTGCCCGTCCCACCCAGCCCCGGGGGAAGGCAGGAGCTGCCCCTGCCAAAGGTGAGTCCCTGCCCTGCCAGACCTGGGAGCTGCTGGTAACTCAGCCATGTGTGCACCCTGTGCCCGGCGCCTTCATGGCCACAGGGCTATGACCAGAGTGGCCTGCAAGGCCAAGTTGGTTGTTGGTGGCTTTTTTTCCTTTTTTTTTTTTTTTTTTTTTTTTTTGGGGGGGAAAAAAAAAAAAAAAAAAAAAGGAGTTGTCCCTCCCTGCTCTCCCCCTTCCAAGTTAATTCCCTTTAGAAACTGCTGGTGCTGCAGGGAGAGATGATAGTGAGAGACACGTGACTTTATTAAAACAACAGCCAGGGGTTGAAATTTGCTTCACTGGCTTGTTTGATTGGAAAAATAATAGTTAATCTGTGAGCAAACAGTTGAGCACTTAATTAGAGGGGTGTAAGCAAGAGAGAATAACAAAGACTCTTAACTTGTTAAAACAAAGTTTCCTTCGCTTCAGCAAAGAGGAAGGAAGGAAGCAAGAATAAACAGCTTCAAGAATTTTAATGGTGATAATTAAGTATAGTAACTCTGACTTGTTTAGAGGCTTAATGTAACTTTATCCAGTAAGCACCAAGTTCCTACTTGTTTGATCAACTTAACTGGAGTTATTTTTGTGGTCGAGGCAATTCAAACTTTGCATTTGCGTGGTAGAGCTACAAAGTTAATCGCTGCTTTCTGGCTCTGTGGAGAGTTTTTCTCTCGGGGAGGTGGTGGGAAGCCGAGCAGCCACGGGTGCTCACGTAGTGCTGGCAAACAGGACTAAAAGTGCTTTCTTTTTTTTTTCTTTTTTTTTTTTCCCTCCCAGATCTATCAGATTCCACGTTGTCTTACACTGAAACAGAGGCTACAAACTCTCCCAACGTCACGCCCGGAGATTTCTCAGGTTGGCAGCTGTTGGTGCCTTTCCATGCTGGGGGCTGGTGGTGGGGCAGGACAGCAGGAGAGGATTGGGGTCCTGATCCTGCCCTTGGTTTGTGTTTGGATGCGAAGAGAAGGACAAAAAGAGCAGTCATTTCAGTTGGTTTTTTGAAGAAGTCTGTGCTGTGCTAAGATGCTGTTTGTGGGATGGGCAGGGATGTTTTGGGTCATGCGTGGAGGCCACCTGGAGCAATGCCAGGCCGCGGGAGTGCGGGCCCTGGTGGCCATGGGGCCGTGGGAGCCGTGAGGGCCCTGGCAGCCATGGGGCCGTGAGGGCTGTGTGGGGCCTTGGCAGCCATGGGGGCCCTGGGGGCCGTGGCCACCATGGAGCCCTGGCTGCTGTGGGGCCATGGGGGCCCTGGCTACTGTGGGGCCCTGGGGGCTGTGACCACCATGGAGCCATGGCTTCTGTGGGGCCATGGGGGCCCTGGGGGCTGTGGCTGCTGTGGGGCCCTGGGGGCCGTGACCGCCATGGAGCCATGGCTGCCATGTGGGGCCATGGCCACCATGGGGGCCCTGGCCACCATGGGGGCCCTGGCTGCTGTGGGGCCATGGCCACCATGGGGGCCCTGGCTGCTGTGGGGCCCTGGCTGCCTTGGGGCCGGCTCTGGGCCCTCCCCATCCCCATGGCAGGGCAGCGAGGCCCTTCCAGGGCTGCTGCTCTGTGCTGGTTCCTGCCGGCTCCGTCGGGCTGGTGTTACCTGTTGGGTCCTGGCCCCGGGCTGCAATCCCTGCTTTCATGAACAGGCTCCCAGCTACAGAGCCATTGAAGATCTCGAACAAAGCTTGGCTTAATTAGGTCCTGGTTTTTACTCTGCCCCACCCTGCAACCTTTCATTCACTTAATGGGGCTCTGCAAGGCCTGGGGTGATTTTACCTGACAGCAGAGGTAGAGCTGGGGCTTTCCTTGGCTCTGGCTGCAGCGATCATTGCACATCTTTCTCCTTGGTGTCTCATCCCAGGCTGACTGTGTGTAGGACAGGAGGGGCCTGGTTTTAGGACCAGGTTTAATTTCTTTGGTTCACGGTCTGAGAGCTGGCTTGAAGGCAGAGGTGGGTTTTGGTGGAGCCCAGGTGCCTCATTCAGTGGCTGGGGTAGGGCTTGGACACCTCTGAGCCTCATTGCTGGGTTGCTGAGCGCATGGGTGGGATCTGCTGCTCACTGGGGGGATGCTGTGAGTCAAGGGAGGTGCTGGAGGGGACCTTTGGGGTGCTGGTCCCTTGGTTGTGGTGTTTCTCTTTGTTTTCTTTCCTTGCAAGAGTTCACGGTCAGTTTGGTGAGACTTGGGCTTTCCTTGGGATGTTTGGGCCAATCCTAATTCCAAAAGGTGTTCAAACAGCACAGGGTCTGTATCGTGGCCCAGTGGCACATTTCCCTCTGGGAATTGTCCCTTCTCCTTGTCCTCCCAGGTGCCCCTGTGGTGGCAGTGCCATGTGCTGGCCCACGGGCTTTTGTTGTGTCCAGAGCAGAGGAACAATTGATAGCAGGACTCGGATCATTCAGCCTTGTGCTCTAATAAATGTGTTTGCAACTCCTAACAAACATTCCTAGGGCTGGATGCACGTCCCTAAAGCTCCCCATGCCCGTGGCTTTTGTTGCAACTCGATAATTGGCATTAATTACAGCAGCCAAGTTGGAAAAGTGGGGTTCCTGAGCATGTCATGGTTTAGCTTCTCTCATGGCTCAGTCTTTATGGGACATCTGGTGGGTTTGCTGGGAGAGAAGAGAGATTTTAACTTTTCCTTGAACAATATAATGATAACATGTGACCGAGATTGTGCTGAAACCGGATCCCTGCTCTCCCCCTGTGCCGTTTCCAATGGTGTAACTTTTAATAAGAGTCTGGGGCTGGGTGATTTATTTGTCCCCAGTGCTCACAATTGCTGAAAGAGGATAAGAGCCCTGCTGAAGTTAACCCATACATGTCATCACGGGGAAATACAAGGGAAAAACCCACTTAGGCTCTAGTCTACCTGCCACATTTCAGTTTGTTTATTCTCCATTTCAACTCATTTAATAGCTCTGCTTGAAGTGTAGGTCTGTGGGAGTGACACACAAAGCACATGGTCCTCCCTGTCTCCTCTTGTGTACCAAGGGAGCTCGGTGTGCATTTAACTCTTCTTCCAAAAATAAGTACATTTTGGATCTAGCATCCAGCCACTGCTATTTATTGGTCCAGCTTTGATCATCAAAAAGGCTTTTCCTACAAAAACCACAAAATTCAATTTTGTATAACAAAGAGAGCCATTCTTCTCCTTTTGCTCCTTTACTTGATGAGCTTCTAAACAGGAGGTTTTAGCATGAAGGCAAAAGATGATTTCTGTCATATGTGTAAATTTAAAAAAAAACCAAACCTTCTTTTTGAAGTAGAGCCTTTCATGGCTATAATAGTGCCCTTAAAAAGAGGGAAAGTCTTCAGTGGAGTAGCAGGCTCACTGTAAAGTTCAGAGGAACAGTCAGTGCTAACTGAAAGCACAAGTTGTGGATAGTTGGGTGGATATGACCTGGATCCAGGGATGATACCCCAGAGCCCTCTTCATCTCATGTTCAAAGCATTTGGCTTTTGGAACAAAGTTGTTTGTCCAAGGATCAGTGTCCAGCCACAGCTTTTCCCTTGGAATGGGGATGCTCCTGTTTTCCCAGTGAGGTGCAACGGCCTGGGAAGATCTGGGTTGGTGGGAAAAGGCACTTGGAGATGTCTGACCCCAAAGTTTCCTCCTGCTGAGCTCAAGCAGAGCCACATTCAGGCTTGTGAGAGCACCAAGAGGGGTTCCATCTTTCCCTCCTTCTATTCGTTTCTGCCTGTGGAGCAGAGCTGAAGAAAACCTGCCGTTTGAGGAGTTCTATTTTAAACCCAGGTGTTTCCCTGGCCTGGGCTGAGCCTGTCTGTCCCCTGGGAGCCAGCAGAGCCTTGGCCAGTCCTGGCGTCCCCGTGGCTCCCAGCCGGAGCTGGGGAAATACCAGGGAAAGGGCAAAATCCAGCAAGGCAGGAACAAAAGCTCAGCCTCGTGACTCATAATTGGTGGAACATTTGTAGTAATTTTTTTTTTTTTTTCCTTCCCCTCAGACTTGGCTCCTCCAGCACATGCCAAGAAGCTGCTGTACCCGTTAGACTTGCCAGGCATGTGGAGGCTGAGCTGGGATGGGATGTGGTGGTGGGGACGTGCTAGAGCAGCTGCTGTGGGCTTTGGGATTGCCTGCCTCCCTCTGAATCCCACAGGGCTATCCCTCACCTTTCCTTAAAACCCATGGAATAGCCCCATTGCTGTTGAAAAAAGCCCCATGGCAAGCATTGGCCAAAGTTCTTGTTAGTGCTGGCTTTAAATTCTGGAGGACAGGTAGGAGAGCAAAAGGTGGCCTTGCACCTGTAGGTCTCTGTGCTGCCCATTCCCAGGCAAGATGCTGGTTTATTTTTTCCAAAAATAGTTGTTTTGTTTTGGTTTTTATTTTAACTTTGAAATCACTTCCCATGTGTTAAAACTCTCCAAGAGTTTCAGCTCTGGTGAACCCATGTGCTGCTGAAAACGTGCATGCTAAAGAAGAAATATTGAATTGGTGGTTTGTTGGAGGGGGGATGAATTCCTCCAAAAGCAGCAGGAAGGTGTTTTCCACCTGGAAGTGGAAACACAGGCATGAGTTTATTCTCAGCAGCTCTGCTGATGTCCAGAAGGTGCTGGGCTCTATGTGGAGATGAGCTCTGCTTGGTGACTGATGATGGTGGAGGAAAGCTGGGAATTAACAGAGAGAAGAAACAGAGACTGAATGGACAGCATCTTATTTAAATTATTTCTGTGTTTTTTTGTTGGTTTTTTTTTTTTTCTGTTTGGTTGTTTGGTTTTTATGCCTGGGAAGATGAGGAGGTTTTTTCAGGGCAGTGGTGGGGCTGGGGGCATTGGATTTGTGGAGCAGGGTCCCTGCACCACCAAAGGGAGGAAGAAGTCAGGATCATCCATCCCAGCTGGTGATTCAGCCCTGTTGAGGCAATGCCACAGCTCCAGGGAAGAGCCAGAGGGTTTTTTTTCTGCTTCCAGCAATATTTAGGATGAACTTAAGGAAGCATATTTTAAAACCCACTGAATGGAGAAAGTGAACGTCTCCCTTCCTCTCCCCCCAGAAATAACAGGCTGCAGGATTTATGCTAACAAGGAAATTTATGAAGATCCTGTGTGTTAGGAGTAGGAAAAAAAAAAAAAAAAGCCCATTAAATCTGTCAGGCGGATGTGTGTGGCAACTGGGCAAACATTGCCCTTTCCGGGCTGGGGGAGAGATTCTGGAATTACCTGTTAATAGAAAAAAAAGGGTATTTTTCTCATTAAAAGGCCAGCAGTTTCTTGTGGGGAGAAGTGTTGGGTTTTGAGGATAGATCCTGGCTTTGCTGTGTCTCACTGCCAGCTCTGAGCTGGGGGTTGGGTCTGACCCAGCACCACCCTGGAGCCTTTTCATCCCTTTTTCCCCCCCCTTCCTGCAGGAACAAATCCTTTTAAAAAAAAAAAAAAGACACAACATATCTGTGCATCCAGTTTAATCACAGACAGATGTTTGTTTGGGCCAGTAATGGTTTTGGTTTCTTTTTTTCTTTCATATTTAACTGTAGCTTTGCTGGCTTGTCTTCCCCTGTGCAGTGTAGAACAATCAGGGTTTGGCTAAAACCTCTCCTGGTCGGAGGAACGAGCCTGGTGCCAAGAGCTACTTCTTTGATGCAAAAAAATACATCCTGGAGGTGCTTTGTCAGATGTTTTTATATTAAACAGTTTTCCTCCATAGTTTCAGTTTGCCAACGGGAAATAAAGTGCATCTATTTTCCAGTGTGCTTCAGAGAGGAATTCTTTGCTGGCTTTGGAGGCTTTTCTCACATGGCTGTGGATGGCCATGGATGTTGGGATCCCCATGGGAGAGCTTCAGAGCAACAACCTGCACTCCCTGGGGGTTTGCTCAGGTGCAGCTTCTGGGGCTGGCATCAAAGGC